CGAAAAGCGAAAAGCGAAAAGCGAAAAGCGAAAAGCGAAAAGCGAAAAGCGAAAAGCGAAAAGAGAAAAGAGAAAAGCGAAAAGCGAAAAGCGAAAAGCGAAAAGCGAAAAGCGAAAAGCGAAAAGCGAAAAGCGAAAAGCGAAAAGCGAAAAGCGAAAAGCGAAAAGCGAAAAGCGAAAAGCGAAAAGCGAAAAGCGAAAAGCGAAAAGCGAAAAGCGAAAAGCGAAAAGCGAAGTCAGCAAGCAGCAAGGTACTTAGGCCAGTCATTAAAGATAATAAATTCACATTAATTATAAAAGTTTTCAAACTTAGTTGGAATATTTATTAAATTTAATTTAATTTTAATTTTTAATTAACTTTTATAGGTCTGGAACATATTGTAACGATATTTTAATTTATTTATAGTTTATTTCTTTAACACACACTATTTACAATTTATTTATGACCTACTAATTAATTTATATAATACTTAGGCACTAACTCCCAATTCTAATTTATATATTACAATTTATCTTTTCAGTCCAATTCTAAACTACTCGTTCGTCGACGAACTCACGCTATTTATACAAAGCCCACTCTGTACTCGCAGTTTCTAGACGCTCCCGAATGTCACTCGAAAATTCCATTTCTATGACTCAACGGCACGCTCCGCCCGTTCTGGCAGTTGCTCGAAGTGTCAGCGGCATACCTAGAAGATTCCGTCGTTTCGAGCATGAGTCGGGTGGAAGACTTCCAAGGTTGCGCTCTACAGGGACGCTTAGGCGTCCCTATGACAATATTAATACTTGCAAAAATTTAAATTTATTATAACTTTCTAAAAAAAAATGCAAAACTGTTTCAAACTTAAAGCAATATATAAATATAAATTATGTATTACTTGTATTAATATACCAGATTTGCAACTTTTTTGAAAGTCCGGAACATGATTTTTTTCTGTAAAATAGCAATTTGTTTATATCATGAATAAAAAAATTGCAAAAATGCTGCGAACCATGACAAAACTCATACAAATTTTTGAAACGGCTGTTCCAATGTACAGGGTTATTCATTATAAATTACCCACCCCTTAGCATCGTTATTATTGCCTATAGAAAAAAAAGTTTTAAATAAAAGTTGTGTGGTTATGACTAAATTTCGTTAAAATGCTATTAAAAATGCAGTAGCGTACAGATTTTAGGGGATACGCAGTAATATTTTTTTTTTATTAATGGGATAACCCTGTATATTATTTATTTTTTGAAATGGTCCTTTCTTTCTGATTTTAAAAATATGTATATTACCCCCACTGTATGCCGTTTTTTAGGTAATAAACGTCAAGTATCTTAGTTAAACTTACCCATCCCTTATTATCCTTATTATTGCCTATAGATAAAAAGTTTTGAATAAAAGTTGTGTGGTTATGACTAAATTTTGTTAAAATGCTATAAAAGATACAGTACCCTGCAGATTTCAAAGAATACGAAATATTTTTTTTTTAAATGGTATACCCTATATATTATTTAATTTTTGGAATGATCCTTTCTTTCTGATTTTAAAAACATTTATGTTACCCCTACCGTATGCCGTTTTTGAGGTATTAAACGTCAAATATCTTAGTTAAACCAATATATGAAAAAGCATTATTAAAATAAGCTATGAAAATGACAACTATGATTGACAAGTGACAATTCTTTAATTTAATAAAATTGTTTAGAGTAAGGAAAAATATACAAAATAAAGAACAAAGATTTATTTAGGAAATATAAATAACTTATAAAAGATGTTCGATGTGTCCACCATTATTATTAATGCATAATTGATAACGTCTTCTTATATTTATAATTGCCCTGGTAATGGCTTCATTATTCATATTCAGATTGTTTATTTCAAGTAGAATCCTATCTTTAATGGCTTCAATACTATTATTATCATTATTGCTATTGACAATGTCTTTTATATATCTCCAAACAAATGAATCCATAGGGGTCAAATCCAGACTGTTAGGTGGCCATTTGATAGTTCCATTATTCCCTATCCATACTGGGAATACATTATAAAAATTATCTCTAACGGGTGCGACACTATGCGGAGTTGCTCCATCTTGCATCCAAATCATATGATCTAGTTCGTCTTCCGGAAAATTCTGTAAAAGAATATCTTCTGCTTCTGGAATAAGTATTTCCAGATAGGTAACTCCAGTTAAATTATAATCGTAATATATAGGCCCAACTATTTTGTTTCTAAAAATTACACACCAAACGCTAACAGTTTTTTTTTTCCTGATTTTTTTATTTGTTTTACCAATCTTTTTATGTTGTGCTTGTTTTCCCACGACCTTCGATTTTTCCAATTAAAAACTCCTGCCGTAGAAAAGGATGATTCATCAGTCCATAATATTTTATTAAAATAATCGGGATCTTCATCCAACTTTTGAATCATCTGGCGACAAAAGTCAAAACTTTTTCTTTTATGATCCTCTGTTAAAATTTGTACGGATAAAATTTTATATGGTCTGTACGTTGAATTTTGAAATAAGTTTTGCCTAATTGATCGACGGCATTATTTATACTACATTTAGAATTTTCTAAAAAAAAAACAATGTTTCAAAAAAGTCTATACGCGAATAAATATGGATGGGTTTACCTTCGAAATGAAGCAGTATATCTAACTGTTCTTCCTGCTTGAACTACACGGATTTTTCTACTAAAACTAGAAGTATTATTCACCTTCTGGTAAATATTTTTGAACGTATTTTCTGACGGTATTGGACGATTTGGATACAACATTCTATAATCTCTTCGTGTGGCTCGTTTATTTTTGTTATTTTTTATATAACAAGTAAATATTTGGACTTTTTCTTCTTCGCCGTAAACCATTTTATTTAATTAAATAATTCTCACTTGTCAATCATAATAGTTGTCATTTTCATAGCTTACTTTAATAATGTTAGCTTTTCCATATATACAGTTTAACTAAGATATTTGACGTTTAATACTTCAAAAACAGCATACGGTAGGGGTAACATATATATATATATATATTTTTAAAATCAGAAAAAAAGGATCATTCCAAAAATTAAATAATATACAGGGTATATCATTAAAAATGTTTTCTTTCGTATTCCTTGAAATCTGCACGGTACTGTATCTTTTATAGCATTTTAACAATATTTAGCTATAACCACACAACTTTTATTCAAAACTTTTTTATCTATAGGCAATAATAACGATGATAAGGGTTGGGTAAGTTTAACTAAGATACTTGACGTTTATTACCTAAAAAACGGCATACAGTGGGGGTAATATATATATTTTTAAAATCAGAAAGAAAGGATTATTCTAAAAAATAAATAATATACAGGGTATTCCATTAATAAAAAAAAAATTATTCCTGCGTATCCCCTAAAATCTGCACGCTACTGCATTTTTAATAGCATTTGAACGAAATTTAGTCATAACCACACAACTTTTATTAAAAACTTTTTTTTCCATAGGCAATAATAACGATGCTGAGGGGTGGGTAATTTATAATGAATAACCCTGTACATAAAACCTTTTATTTTGCACGAAAATATATATGTTTTTTAAAATAGCAAAATATTTCTTTATTCTCCTCTATTTTTTTCGAAAAAGGAAAAGGTTTGAAAATTGGTCGCAAATTTTTCTTATAAACTTGGTAAATTTACAACCTCGGACAAGGTCCGAAATCTTGAAAAATTAACAATTCGTAAATGCAAATTTGTAACGCTCCATAAGATTAACGCAAATGATTGTAAATTGTCTATGACCAATTTTGCACTGAGAAATTAATAGAAAAGTGTCTAGGGCAACAAAAATTTTTTTTCTCTAAATTATAATCAAAAGCGCCATTTTGATATAAATTAACTAGTTCCGGCCCTTGGAAATGGTTGAAAACTTAGACTTATTACTGTTATTTAAACTAGCCGATTATTATTACAAACTTTGAAAACTTTTGTAATTAATGTGAAATGTTCAGAATAGGATGTTTGTAATTTGACTGGCCTAACTGAGGTGAGCCGATTTTCAGGAAGGCGACAATAAACTTTTTTCTACTAACTTTCGATGTAAATAATATCTAATTATTTAAAGTTTGCGCTCTTATGACTAGGATTACTAGACGTCCGGAAAAGTCTGGACATATCCAGATTTTTTGTCGATTTTAAGCGGAAGTAGAATTTGCACATGAGATCATCAATAACGGGAAATATGTATTCTTTTGATGAGATGTGAGAAAATGGTTTCAATGTTGTAAAGGGTATGGTCTATAAGTGTAGCAGTCGGTTTCGAAGTGTAATTCTAATACTAAAACATTTGCTCTTCAAAGTATACAGACGAGTAGGTAGGTACCAAAGTTATGTATTAAGTGCATTGGTTTTTTTTTAATATATCAATGATCTCGTCAGTATTAATATATAAGATGACAGTTCACAAGAAGACACAACTATACCTATAATCTCTGACATAATTGATAAAATATACATTTATGTGTTTCATATCAATAAATGGAGGTTTTTAAATTGTTAGTTATTGTTGTTTAATTGAATTTATTTTTTATTTAATTTTAATGGTACTGAACTATATTTTATTGTTGGTACATGTAAAAGTTTATGGACTTATATATACATTGAACGAATGTATAATAATAAAAAAAATGTTAGAAACATAAAAATCCAACTGCATGATTTCCCTAAACTTTTAATAATGAATATGGTCAAATTTCGACCACTAGGCGAACACTAGTTTTTAAAAAATTACGTCACACAGACACATGTGCGTAATGCAGAATTTTTGAAAGAAAATGCAACGTCCTCATAAATCCATAAATCGGTAACAGTTAATTATTTATCTGTAACATTATGTAAGACATTTCAAACATGGTTTTATACTTTGATAATGAAAATAAACACCTCATTCTGATATTAAGAACTAGGTACGTTGATTCAATAATAATAATAAAGTGTGTGTTAACCAGTGATGATTTTAATATTCTTTAAAATGTCGTTGTTTTTTACAGTATAGAATCCAACTGAAAAAATTTCTTCTACAATAAAAAAAAAAGTTAAATTTTTCAATTAGATCAAAAAAACATGAAGATCACAATATTTATTGCTATCACCGGAGCACTAAGTTTTACTGTTATTTATAATTATTGTTATAATTTTATTTATTTTGATGGCAGGCCCGGTATATCGGATGATTTTTGTTGGGGCAAAAAAGAAAATTGCAAAAATGATACAAATATTTATTCATTTAAGATAAATATTCGACAGGAGGTAAGTGAAAATAATTTAAAAACTATACACAGATTATTCCATTTAGAATAGGACATAGAACAACTGAAGATTTTCTGATTGAAAATAAGACGATTAAACGAAACATGCTTGGGTAAAATATAACTCGTTTCCCCGAAATACAGGGCGTTAAAGTTGAAAATTTGCATTTAATGGTTATAATTTTTTTATTACTCAGCATAATTTTACTAAATTCGGCAAACGTTTTTGATGTCATAACATACACCTATCAGTGAAAAAATAAGTTAAATATACTTTGCCAGTGGCGAGCGGCATGGGTAAGTGAAAATTTAATCCTCTCTAAATTTTACGCTACTGTCCAAGCACGTATTTGGAATATAATTTAATTTTTTTTTTAAATAAAGAGGTTTCCACATTTGTATGCGAATATGTCGAAAACCAATCACTTTACAAGTATGCAACAGTAGGTATATAATTTTTGTGAAAAACATCAAAAAATTTAAAATTATAGTCCAAATAAGTTTTTGAACGCCAGTGGCAAAGTTTATTTAACTGATTTGCTAATAAAGGTTATTAGTGACATCAAAAACGTTTGTCGAATTTAGTAAAATTATACTGAGTAATAAAAAAATATATACAGGGATTTCATTTCAAAACTAGCCACCCAAAATAACTTTTAAAATATCTTTAAAACAAAAAACACGTTAATTTATAATTACGTGGGGACACATTTTACAAGTATCTGTAACCGTGCAGTTTCATCCCCTAAGCGGTGGTGAATATCACTTCTAAAATTTTAAATAGAAAGGGGTATCATGTGATAGCTCTTCTTAAAGGTCTCTTTTTTTCCAATCTTTTGACACATTATTTTTTTAAATCGGATTAATTTTTCACCAAGTTATGCCATTTTAACCTTTTAAATTAAAATAATTATTATTTACATTGTATTTACATTATTAATATTTTATTTGCGTAAGAATTACATTGTGCTTAAATAAGATGTTCAAAATGTCCGCCATTGTTGGCAAGACAAGCTCGAATTCATCCCGCACTTTTTGAAGCGTCTCTGGTGTAATCCGCTCACACTCCTCCACTATATTCTACGTCTAAGTTCAGGAATATCGCGAAGTTGAGTTTTATACACCACAGTTTTTAGATGTCCCCATAAAAAAAAGTCAAGGGGCGTTAGGACGGGTGATCTCGCTGACCATTCTATAGCGCCCCTTCTTCCGATCCATTTATCTGGAAATGTCTCATTAAGCCAATTTCGTACAGGCAAGGCATAATGTGGAGGTGCTCCGTCCTGTTGAAAAAATAGGTTTTCTTCGTCTAGTAACAAATTTCCATCTTGATCTATTTGGTTTTCTAAGGATTCGGTTATAAGAGGATTTATCAGATTTCAAATACAGTTCCCCAGTTAAATTTTCCTCCATGAAAATAGGACCAATAATTTTAATACCAAGAATTCCGGCCCATACGTTGATTTTCTGAGGATATTGGCTGTGCTCTTCCCGAAAAACATGTGGATTTGTATTGTCCCAGTACCTACAATTATGTTTATTGACAAATCCATTTAAAAAGAAACCTGCCTCGTCAGTAAAACAAATATTTTTAATAAAATTATGGTCTTCATTTGCCCTTTGAGTCATTAATTCGCAAAATTCTAATCTTCTGTCATAATAATCATCCTCAGCAAGCTGTTGTAAAAGCTGTATTTTGTAAGGAAAGAATTTATTTAGCCGTAATGTTTTATGCACAAAGCCAACGGAAATATTTGTTAATCTGGAGACTTTTGGTATTGATGTTTGAGGTTCCATGGCAAAATGACCTAAAATCTCAAGTTGTGTAGCTTCAGTTAAAACTCTACGATTCCTTAGAGTTTTATTGCACACACATCCAGTTTCTTGAAATTTATGAACTAAATCCAACACATACTGATGCCCAACATTGTTATCGGGATGTCCCTGATTAAAAACACGAGCAGTTCTGCATGCACAGCGTTGTTCTTCACCATAAATAAAGATTATTTCAATTCTTTCTTGTAAAGAATAAACCATTGTCAAAATTAAATTGTCAGTACACAACGAAACCAATAATCTACTAATAATAAATTATTTTAATTTACGGTCAAAAATATCTTGCGCAAAAAACATTTAAGGCTTTTTGCTAACTTGTTTATCTCGGTATTTATACTCATGCATTTTAATTCAATATTTTTAAAAATTAATCCGATTTAAAAAAATAATGTGTCGAAAGATTGGAAAAACAGAGACCTTTAAGAAGAGCTATCACATGATACCCCTTTCTATTTAAAATTTTAGAAGTGATATTCACCACCGATTAGGGGATGAAACTGCACGGTTACAGATACTTGTAAAATGTGTCCCCCGTAAATATAAATTAACGTGTTTTTTTGTTTTAAAGATATTTTAAAAGTTATTTTGGGTGACTAGTTTTGAAATGAAATCCCTGTATATGCATTAATAATATTTGATTACTTAACTTTAATTTTAAAAACGAGTGACATTTTACCTAAGCATGTTTCGTTCAATCGTCTTATTTTTATTCAGACAATCTTCAGTTGTTTTATGTCCCATTCTTAATGGAACACCCTGTTTTTATGAACTGACGTCGGTAAAGGTAAATATTTACGATCCAATATGCCTTATAGTTTCACATTTGACTGTAGAAAGTGGCATGTCGTGTTTTTTGCTTGCTATTTGTAGTTGGGTACAGGGTAGATGGGTAAACTGTACTATGTACCGGTAAGGGGAGCTGTCGTATAACATGTCAAGTTTAAATCTAAGATGATATTGCAAGCTGGTGGTAATTTACTGTTGCTGGTGGTAACCTCTACTGTTTAAATGTAAAATTGATGAAACAAAAAGTTACTAGATTTTGGTACATGTAGATTGATTACATCATATTATATGTCAGGTGGCAGTTATCATAATAATTTTGAATTTTTCTATTTGTTAAAAATTTGTATATTTTGATATTTCAAAAGTTTTTATAAGTATTTAACAAAATAGTGAAACGATTTAATGATCAATCAAAAACTTTATTCCCAAACGTAGTTTCCTATTTTAAGAGACATAAATCTATTTGCGATGCTCTTGGAATCAAATGGCTGTAAAGGCATTAAATATTTCGCAGAATACTATCTATAGTCTTAGTAAATCAACAAATTCTGATCCAGAATATGTGAAAATAATGTCTAAAAAAGTAAGCCAAAGTAAAACAAAAATAAATTCTTTAATATTAAGTAAGTTGAGGCAAGTTAAATAAAAGATTTACGAAGGTGCGCAACATGTAACAATGAAATTGTTACATAAACGATTTTCAGAAGAAATGCCTGATGTGAAATGTTCTACACGGTCAATTAATACATGGATTCTAAAAAATGGCTTTTGCTTTAAAAGAAGTAACAACAGTCAGTTTTTATTGGAACTAACTACGATTCAGTTAAAAAATGTCGTTTTTGAAAAATTTTAACAAGGAGATAGAACTGAACTGGGTAACTTTAAGCCTGTATTTATGGATGAGACGTGGGTATATAGCAAGGGAAAGACAGAAAAAGTTGGCAAGAGAAAATTAAATCGAAAATAATCGATTAATCTAAAAAATCGAATATCCAAAAAAATTGGCTAATCGAAAATGATCGAAAAGAATCAATTAATCGATTAATCGAAATTTATCGATTAATCTAGAAGAATCGATTAACGTAAAATAATCGATTAATCGAAAATAATCGATTGATCGAAAATAATCGAATATTTGAAAGATCGGAAATATCTGATTTTCAGCAACAAAATTATTTAAATAAGAAGTTTTACTTGTGTAATTCGAATTTTTGTATTATTTTTTATTAAGTTATAGAAATCTACTAAAACTAGTGAAAAACGCTGAAAATCTATCAAAAAGAAGAAATGTACTAATGTGTTAACGTTGGATTAAAGACCCCCCAGTCAGAGTGACCTTGACTAATCATAATGACTAATCGTTGGACCAAGCGAAGTTAACTGTGCGATGCTAAAAATAGCGTGGTTTCAAGAAGGCACACTGTTTGTTTCACGGTTTTGTTGACCTCTCTTTTTAACTACAGGCATTTGCGGAAACCTCTTGCATTCAGTCAACATATTACTCTGACAGACGCGATCAGACAGAGCACAGTGGGGTACCAAGAAAAGTAGAGATTAACACGTAGGAGAATAATAAATATATTAAAATTGAATTTATATTTTTTTCTAATTTTGACATATAAAGTGATATTTTTTTATAATCGCAGTAAGTATCAATATGATCTACTTAACATATATGAAACTGGTTTTGAAAAATTCATTATGTCGCCAATTGCAAAAAAACAAATAAAAATAAAACATTTATGGTTCTAAAATCAATAATATACATAAATATTGAAATTTTGTATAAAAATAGAATTTGGTTAAACAAGTAATAATGTTATTATTTTGGACCATTAACTATTCTAAATCAGTACAAAATAATTAAAACACAATACACTACAAAATAACCTACTTTTTTGAAAACGAAATAACCAATAAGCCATATAAACACACAAAAAGTCGTTGCATGTTCAACTAACAATAAAAGAAAGTAGTAATACTGGTTGCCTAGATGTCAGTAATTTGTTACTAAAACACAATTTTAAAAATAATTTTGTCAAAATTAGAAAAATATTGTATGTAATAAGTTAGTAAATGCCGTTTTATGTAACTCATTCATGTAGTGGTACCTCGTTCTTCTCGTCCCGCAAATATTCACTCGTTACATAAAATAAGGCATTTCGTAACTGATTTCATAAATAGCTATTAAGTTATTTATGTGATTTTAAAATAATGTGTTTTTATGAAATTAAACTGGGTGTACACTGCCCAAATAAACCAATGGAGAAATTGTCCTTGCTTCCTAATATTCTCTTATTTTCCTTTCCTCTCAATTGGCAGTATCTATATTTTCTTCTTGTATTATTTTTTAAGGAAATAGATGACTTAATTTCAAGATTGAACAACACCAGGCAATTTATATCACGATTAGAAAATACTCAAACCCAATATGGAGTTTCCGGCCAAATTTTAGAAGTTATACGTAAATTTGTAATGGAGGAATATAATTTTACACAAAGACTGATTTATCTCAATAAATATCCTCAATTTAAGACAAAAATTCAAGGTGAATATTTTTTTAAATTTACTTCAACTACTATTAGTCTTCATAGCTAGTTGAATAATGGAAATAATAGTCAGTAATTTTATGAGTGAAGCATGTTGTCATATGTTATTGCGCCAAAGTTCGTAGAAATTTTCGGAGGTTACGGACTCTTTCAGTGCATGCATATACTGCAATTGGAAACTTTGGAAACATTATTTACATATATTTCAGACATTAAATTCCTGCCTATTATTTATGGATTCAACTATATACAGTGTGGCTCATAAAGTTTGATCCTTATGGGATTTTTACTTTCCTATCTGTATACAGATATAAGGAAAGTATAGGAATCATGATTTTTTTCGACCTCGAGTTTTCGACGGATTTTTACGTTTTGAGGTCCCCTGAATCCGTTTTGACTATTTTCGCGATGATGTCTGTGTGTGTGTGTGTGTGTGTCTGTGTGTCTGTGTGTCTGTGTGTCTGTGTGTGTGTGTGTGTGTGTGTGTGTGTGCCTGTATAACGCATAACTCATGAACCGATACACAGAAAAACACCAAATTTTAAACTTAAGCTTTGTTTCAGCGTCTTATGAGCTGATTAGATTTTGGGCAGAGTCGGAACATTTGGGGGGGGGTACTTTATAGGTGGTCATTTTTATATTTTATGGAATATATCTGTTATTTACGTTTGGAGAAGAAAATTCTTTAAATAAAAGTTACTTCTAATATTATTATCTATAATTTTTGTTCTATACAAAATTTTCCTAAAATGGTCCGTATTCGAGAAATTTGACAAAATGTAAAAAAAATATTTTTTTATAAAAATTGTTCAAATAAAAGTTGTTTGTAATATAATTCTCTATAATTTTTATTCTTTATATAATTTCTCTAAAATGGACCGTATTCGAGATATTTGAGAAAATGTGTAAATTTCGAATTTTGAAAAAAACTCAAAAACAGATAAAGAAAAAAACATTAAATTTTAAACTTAAGGTTTATTTCGGCCTGACGTGAAACGATTAGATTTTGGACAAAGTCGGAACATCTGGGGGGGTACTTTATGGGAGGCCGTTTTTATATTTTATGGAATATATCTGTTATTTATGTTTGGAGAGGAAAATTGTTCAAATAAAAGTTACTTCTAATATTATTATCTGTAATTTTTGTTTTACGTAAAAATTTCCTGAAATGGTCCGTATTCGAGAAATTTGACAAAATGTGCAAAATTCTGATTTTTATTATGAAAGTTTTTGAAATAAAAGTTGTTTGCGATATCGATCTCTATAATTTTTGTTTATACATGATTTTTCTAAAATGGACCGTAATGAAAAAATTGTAGGAAATTAAAATTTTTCAGTATTTTCGTTTTCCATGAATATCTATAGAAAAATGTTTCGAGGTAGATGTATGTGGACAATGTATATATTTAGTTTATCCTCTAAACATTTATATAACTAGATAGGAAAGTCATGTGTTGGACACATCAGATTTTTTTATTATTACGTTTGGAAAAAACGTTGTATAGTAATCTCCTCTGCTTATTTAAAAATTTAAAATAGCACATGTCAAAGTTGGCTACTGACATCAGTTTTCTAAACCGATTTTTTAAAAATATACCGAATCTGACAGATAATTAATACAGTACCTAGCCAACTTTAGTAAGGGTTATTTTAAGTTTTTAAAAAAGCAGAGGTGAATGCTCTACGATGTTTCTTCTAATTGTAATATAAAAATTTCCCATATGGATCCAACTTTATGGAACACACTGTATAACAATATAATTTTTCTTTTCGTAAATTTTTGTGCCTAGAGATACTCATACCACGATTGTGAATATAAAGAATGTTCGCTCTATCTTGTTTGTTCTTAAGCCGGGTCCAGATCAATAAATATTTACATTGTGCGTTGTATTTGATGCAAATTTGCTCGTGTTCGTCAAAATATTTGTAGATGTGGACTGTGCGCCGCACAATGTGTGTGTGAATTCGAGAACTATGGCTGCGGAATCTGAATCCATTTGCCAAACTAATTTATTAATTTTTTTTTTCCTTAATTGGTTTGATGTCGGGAAAATGCAATTTTACAATTTTTTGTTTTATGTTTATTTAAAATTGATTATGTAGTCTTTTTTTTTTTTTTTTTTTTTTTTTTTTTGGGATATCACATGGACACAATTACGCTTATGGGTCTATCTAAGCGATTTAGACTAACAAGAGGACCCGGAGAGGTAGGATCACAATTAAGGAGTTTTAACAGAGGAAGTGAACTTATTCTATTTTTTTACAATTTAATTTTAATGTTACAGATATGTTGAAAAAGTATCTCATAATATCTTATTTCTTTTGATTGTAACAGTTGGTGTAGATTATATGGTTTTGTAATATTTAAGTGTTGATAAAGGCTATTATTTAATTGCATAACTTGTACTTGTATTGCTCGACAATTTAGAATAATGTGTTCAGCTGTACCTATATCCCCACAATGACAATACGGATTATCTGCTAAATTTATTTTGTGCAAATGAGCAGGAGTTAGTGCGTGATTAAATCTTAGTCTGTTTATTACAGATATGAGATGCTTTTTTGCATTTACATTATTAAACCAAGGTTTGGGAGGAATATCATTTTGGATGGTTTTAAAATATAGCCCTTTGTTTGAACGATGGTATTCTTGTTTCCAATTTTCCACAGCTAAGTGCCTCGCATAATTTCCTAGATCTTCTACGGTGCATGGGTAATGATTGGAACATGATGTTAAAAGGGTGCCATTTTTAGCGATTTGATCTACCTTCTCATTGTTAATCAACCCACAGTGGGACCTAATCCACGCTAAACTCACCAATATATTTTTTTGTTTTAATTCCTGTATTATAGAAAGTATTTCGATGGAAATATAATTATTCTGACATTTTCTGTTTTTTAGCTTTTCCAGTGCGCTTTTACTGTCGGAGAAAATTACGTAATGTTGATTTATTTTTTGTGAGTCTTTTATATATTTCAGAGCTTCTAATATTGCAATTGATTCTGCCGAGAATATGGAAAATTTATAATTTAATTTTACAACCTTTTCATATTTTGTTTCTGGTACCCATATAGCTGCGGCCACTCCGTTAACTGTTTTAGAAGCGTCAGTAAATATTTGAAAATTGGATGGGAATAACCTGTCGACATCGAATTTAAATGTGATGTTCCGTAAGGAGAGCATCAATTCTCTGTAATCCCGAAGAATTATAATTTTAGTTGGATCTTGATTCCATAAATCTGTTGCGTAGCATGGAAGTATGTCAGATTTGTGAAGTTCTGGGAAAGTATTATTTATAGTAGAATATGCCTCGACTAGCGCTGGTGATTTTTTGTTTTTCCAGTAATCATTTGTCAGGTCCGAAATAAAGAGTTGATGTGTGCTATCTATTAGTCTACTATTTTTGGCTTGTAGTTTTAGTAGAAATTTGTGGCTAAGCACTTGCCGTCTTAGTGATAAAGGCATTTCGGACGCTTCCACATACATATTCGATATTGGGGTACTTCTCAGCGCCCCTAAAGCGAGTCTTAAACATTTGTTGGCTAATATATCAATTTTGTGCAAATGAATATTGGCTGCTTGATGGTAAAAAATGGATCCATAGTCTAATATCGAACGAATAAAGGATCTATATAGTAATATTGCGATATTTGCATCAGCTCCCCAAGACATATGACACACCGCTCTCATGATATTGAGTCCTTTTTCAGCCTTTGTCACTATATGCTGTATATAATCCCTCCAAAGAAGCTTCCTATCAATTATAATTCCCAGATATTTTGTTTTGGGTTTTACTGAAAATTCGGTTGTTTGTAAGGTCATTTTATCTGGAATATTGTGTTTTTTTGAGAATATGCATATTTCACTTTTATTTTTGGAAATCGTGAGTCCCTTATTAAAACACCATTTTTTGATATCTCCATATATATTGTTTAAATGTTGTCTTCCTGTATGAATTTCGCACATGTCCTTATATATGCAAATATCGTCTGCAAATTGTAAGATTTTTGTTTTACTATGTTTTACTGTTGAACAAATTTCTTCAAGGTCTGCTGTGTAGATTAAATATAGGATGGGTGCTAAAATACTGCCTTGTGGTAATCCTAAGGAGGTCGTCCTAGGTCCTACTACTTCATTATTTATTCTTATATAAACTATTCTGTTGGTGTAGAGTGTAATCACTTTTTTGCACATTTCTGTAGGTAGACCTATCTGCATCATTTGTTTATAAAGAATATCTAACTTTACATTATCATAAGCGCCTTCTATATCCAAAAATAAAGCCACTGTGGATTTTTTGTTGGAGAATGAATTATTGACATCGTTTATTAGGTGTCCTACATTTTCTATAGTAGAGTGTCCTTTTCGAAAGCCGAATTGGCTTTTTGGTATTTTACAGTTATTTTCTAACCAGTGTTCTAACCTATATTTGACCATTCTCTCAAAAGTCTTTTGTACGCAAGATGCTAATGCGATTCCTCTATATGATTCCGGTAAAGTAGGGTCTTTGTTCGGTTTAAGGATAGGAACTACTAGATACTCCTTCCAACTAGAAGGAAACTCTGATTTATCCCATATGTCGTTTAAAATGCGCTGTAAGATCGCCTTAGCATGCTGTGACAAATTTGTTAACATAATATAATGTATTTCATCTTTCCCCGGTGCACTGTTTTTTTTTATTTTGAGGCTATTTTCTAATTCCAATGGCGTAAATTTTCGTAAAAGTGGATGAAATGGTAATGGTTCATTTTCTTCAATTTGGGTATTAGCCCATGGTGGTGCTACCTTGATTAGAAACTGTAGTACCCAATCGTCATTGCTCAATTTCATTTGAGGAATTCTGTAAATATTTTTTAATTTTTTGACTTCCTCCCAAACTTTTTTTATTGGCGTAGATCTATTTAGGTTTGTACAGAATAAGTGCCAAGAAGCCCTTTTACTTTTTAAAATGGTTTTTTTAACAATGGCTGCTGCTTTGTTAAAGTTAATATAGTTTGTAATATTAGAATTTTGTTTGTAAAGCGAAAAGGCTTCTTTCTTCTTTTTTATTGCAGAATCACACTCTGCATTCCACCAGGATTTACAAAATTTTGGGTTGGATATATTTTTCCTTTCTGGTATAGATAACCTAGCAGTATCATTTATGATTTGAATAAAGCTTTTATATGCTAATTCTTCTGTGCTATTAGTAATATGGTTATCTACCAACTGTGAAAACTGTATCCAATCTGCTTTTTTTAAATTTAATTTATTTGGATAAGACAAATTAATTGCATTTTCCTGACCTGTATTTAGTTCTACTAAAATTGGAAAGTGATTTGAACCGAGTGAAATCATATCCGTTCTCCATTCGCACATGGTTGTTAGGTCTGTGGAGCATATTGTTAGATCAATTGAGGATTTGTTTTTATGATTCGGATTTGGAATAAGTGTCTCTGAGCCGTCATTTAAATAATTTAACTGACAGTCCTCGATAGCAGATAATAATTCAGTTCCCGCAGTATCTGCAACACTACAACCCCATCCCGTGTGGTGACAGTTAAAGTCCCCCCCAACTATAAAGGGTTTCTCTAAACTATCGAAAAATCTTACCCATTCCCTAGTTGAAATTTTTAAATTAGGTTTTGCATAAATATAATAAATATTAACTTTCAGACTTTTACAAATCTTTACAGATATTGAGATACACATTAAGTTATTTATGTTATAGAAATTTGGAGTTTGAACGTATGTAAAGTTGTTTTTTAAGAGTATCGCGACACCGCCATATCCATCGTCTCTGTCACATCCGAATATATTAAATCCTGTAAAATTAATATTATTCTTTTTTTTTAACCATGTTTCACTAAGAAGAACAGCATTTAGTTTATTATCAAAAATATATTTTTCTAAAAGACCCTTATTGGAAATTACAGACCTAGAATTCCATTGCAATATTTTAAAAGTGAATGTTGTTTAAAATTGGGGAGATGTTGTTTTTTATTTTGTTTAATAAATCTATATCGTCTGTTTCTAATAATTTTTTAATCACGTTAATAATTAATTCGCAAGTGTTATCGTTTGAAGATTGACTATTTTGGATAATATTAAGCGAGTTATCTTGTATATTATTTTTATTTATGTTGTGGTATTGAGGGATATTTCTATTGGTATTAAAAACTGGTTGTGATGAGCTTTTAGGAGCTTGCAGAATTTCCCTATGTTCTGGAGAATATGGGTTAATAGTTACATTTTTATAATCTGACCTTTTTCTTTTAAGTTGTACCGTATATCTGGAATTTTGGGAAAGATGATTGTCGTTTCCAGCAACAACACCTGCATAAGAAGAATTATATTTTGATTTTGCTTCAACGTATGTAAGATTTTCTAAAGCCATAAGAGTTTTTACTGATTTTTGTTCCACAAAAATGGGACAATTATTCTTATCTGTTGCAGAGTGTGCTCCCCCACATAAAATACATTGTGGATTTTGTTGAGTAGGACATACTTCTTTTTCGTGTTCTTCGCCGCAAAATTGACAACGAATTTTACTCTTACACTGTTTACTTATATGACCGTATCGCAAACAATTTAGGCATTGCACAACTATGGGGATATACTTATCCACATCGTAAACCATACGTTCAATAACCACTTGATCCGGAATTCTTTGCCCTTTAAATGAAACCACGATAGTACCTGTTGGAATTAGCTTATCTTCAACTTTTCTGAACATTCTTTTAACATTGACAATTTTTATTTGATTTCCGTATCTACCTGTTATAATTGATTTTAATTCTGTTTCCGTAATATCAGTGTCTACCTGTCTAATTACTCCGCGTTTTTCTGTGTAATATGTTGGGATGTAAGCATCATATTGTTTTTCCCGTAATACCTTTGACTTGACAAGTATATTTGCGCTCTCTAACGAGTTACATTCAACTTTTACTTTATTTTTACCTACACTTGCAATATTTGTTATGTTTTTTTCAATTTCCGGTACTGATTTGAGTATTAATCTAGCGGTTCCTATTCTATGTAGCCTACCAATATTACCAGTTTTATTCTCAATAAATACAAAATAAGGCCCTGAATCGCCCGTACTATAAAAGTTCTTTTCGATATTTCGGTTATCGTTTTTATCGCAATTATCGGCAGAATTAATGTTAGTTTGATTATTTATGTACTTATCTGAATCGTTTTCTTGTTTTGAATTTTCTCCAGTTCCATTGCCACTTTCACAATCCATTGAAACAATTGACTCGTAATGTAAGTTAGATTTTCCTCTATCTGGAGGAAGACCTTCTTTTCCATTTTTTTCCATGTTTTATACCGCACTTAAATCTAAAAACTCGATTTGTTATCACTATTGATAAATACCCGTACTGTCGACCACTCACTTCGAATGCTAACAGCCGAATCCGTGCGCCGCACAATAAAACACGCAAATATTTGCGCCAGATACAACACACGCTATCCACCGTTCTGTCGGTTTTTCTGCCGACTTCAAAGAGATTTGCGTCGAACGACCCTCGAGTGCTTGTTTTAATGTGGACTTGAATATTTTTTAGTTTGTACTATTATTTTAATCACAAATTATTGCTACGCACGACGCACGAAAATGGATCGCAATAGATACACCAAAACAACGCACATATTTGCGCGACAAAATCACAATAAAATATTTGCGCCGCAAATATTTTTGTCGAATTCAACACACTTTTAACACACAAATTTATTGATCTGGACCAGGATTTATTTTCGGTTAAGGTGCATTTAAATTATAGCAAATCATAGCGAATGAATTCGTTCGTATAGGGGAAAGCGGGACAAGATGGCTGCGTTAAGGAAAATTTTCAAAAAAATATTTATTTTAAAGAGGAAACTCAAATCAAAATTTATGAACAAAAACCCTTACGGGTGAACTATAAAACTAATATAACAAAATGAAAAAAAAATTATTAGGTGAAGAGAAAACCCAAAAAAAAAAACTTTGCTTATTCTTCATCTTGCCCCACCCATAGGACAACTTGAGGGGTCGATAGGAATAATATTTTTGTTTTAGGACTGAATATCCATTTTTTGCACATAAAACCAAAAAATAGAAGAGACTTACCCGTTATACCTATTTTGTTGCTACATGGTTGGCCTAGTTCCGTACGAGAATTTTACGAATCTGTTCCATCATTCATGTCAGATAATCGTCAGTATGCCATAGAATTAGTCATACCAACTCTCCCAGGATTTGGGTACGTAAAATGGACTTAGTACCACTGCTGCTCATCCCATTGCTGCTCATGACCCCAAAAAGTTGTATTGCTGCTCGCCAGATCGAAAGAGGTATTATAAAGTTGCAGTGTTGATCGCGTATACGAGGTAGCGAAAAAGTTTGGCAACAAGGTACTTTCTTTGAAGCGAATGAATCTATAATTATGATATTGTAGGGTGAAGAATTGGTTACATTATTATTGTTTTTTTCTTATCTTATATATGTAGGATAGCGAAAAAATCTGGTAACAATGTATTTTAGGTTGACGAATGGCACTGCATTACATTAGTATTTGCCTTATACTTTTTTAGTATCCTTGAAAAGAGGAAAAAATAAGATTTTCTTTAATATATCACTTGACCTACGTTGCTGTTTAACCAAATTCAAGATGGGGTGGTACGCTAAACGTTGACGTAACATAAATTTGACATGTGTTCTAAAAAATGCAGAATACAATCTCATTAATCACCCTATAATTTCATAATTATACATTCATTCCTTTTAAAGAAAATACCTTGTTGCCAGACTTTTTCGTTACCCTATATAATAAATAATGTCCGGCGCAGATTAATTTGTCTATGATGCAGTATAATTTGACAAAGCGGTATCCGTAGTAATGCATTCCATGCGCGCATGCGCGTGACGGCCCTGAATATGCAACAAGAACACCAAGCTAGGGCTTCTCGTAGGGTGGCAGCTTCGCCGCCACCAGAAAATATCAACCCATACCTGGCTTCGCCGGCCGGCATCGACTCCAACACAGCTGAAATTAAAATGAATAGTCTCACTAATTATCCTTCCTCCATGAGTCTCACATAACACATTATATTCTCGTATTATCATCTGCACATGCGTAAGTATGGAATGTGTTACTACGAATAAGAACGATTTTTTATCTATACCTATGATAATGTTTATTAATTTATACTAAACATACAAGGATATATAACAAATCATAGTGTGAAGACTTAGAGGTTAAAATAAACTCAATATTTTTTGTTGTACTAAAAATATTTTGAAAAAGAATTTATTTAGAATTTACAATAATTGTATAACAATTAAATTAACTTAACTTAATACAACAATTTTTTTTAATAATTTAAAAATTTGGAAACAAATCTCAAAAATCCCACTACGAATTATTAAGACTATTCCTGAACACCAAAGGTGAAAACAAATACTAAGAGATGTAAAAAATGCCTGTCGCAGCCGGGAATAGAACCAGTACATCCTTGTACGGTAGACAAAGTGCCCTTCCTTCTGGACCATCACGACATTGACTGTCGAGGTTCCTAGACAGAAAGTTGATGTGCTACTGCGGGTCAGATGGCGATCAAGCTCGTTCGCAAATCTTCAAATACCTTTATACAGCATCGATATACATGATAAATGCATTTATGCTTATCATCTTCGTCTTGTGAGTTGTTTTCAAAGGTAATTATTTTTTTATTGGTTATACTTACTTTTTTCTTAGCTGAAGTAATAATAATTTTATAAAAGTAATTTTAAAAAAAAGCACTCCAAAAATTAGTTTGAGGAGTTTCTTATAGATACCAAATTTATATGGGACCACCTCTGAGGTACTTCTTTTCTAATAAATATAAAAATATGGCTTGTAACAAAATAGAGTAATTTTTTATTGTTACTAATTAAATATTTCAAAATTTCATCGTAAATTCATAGTCCCAAAAGGCGATTTAAATTGCTATATTAAAAGCAAAGCAAGATACCCTACAAACCATGGTTTATAGCAAATTCAGCAAGAGAAGTTTTATTAAAACGACTTGCAGAATTAGAAAATTATCATTGCCCGACTCCAAATTATAAAAGAAGAATGGGATTGGTCGACAATGACGAATGCATCTGTGACGAGATAGCCGATTTACAACATTTAATTTTAGATTGTATTTTAAATGATATTAACATATCAAATCTATACACCAAACTTATTCAACATACTATCCAACTACCTATTAATTTGTCAGATCTTCTCGCGCTAAAGAATCTCGATGTATACAAAATTATTTATAATCATGTAAACTTCCTTAAATAGAATATGTATTTAGAGAAATTTGTATTATTTAAATAAAACGGAACTATGAAATATTGTAAGAATATAATTCAAAATTGAATTAACACAAAATAAACTTTATTAAAATTAATTAAAAATTGACCGGCCAGTTGGTTTTGAAATCAGTGTCAAACAGAAAAGACATACACACTCACACAAAATTTCAAAGTGAGTACATTGGTACCTTTTTTTAGTTTTACACCCTTCGGACCTCCCGTACTAATCCCTAATCCGTCTATAATCTGGCGGCACTGCAGCCTGCGGCTTATAGTACCACCATTTAAAGGTCCTACTACATTCTCATTCTCAAAATTCACTCCCTCATTCATCATCATTCATTCCACGTCATCGATTCTAGTCGGATAAGTCCCATGGTGACACAGCCCATAGTAAAACCCACCAGTGTTTATTCATTCATGACGTGACCGGAGAGATTACTGCTTAACTGTTACGAGTTTGTGGATGTACTAAGCTCGCGGCTAGCCTCTCCGGCGCTTGGTACTTAAAAATGCAGCTTTGTGAAAAAGTGATTAGATTTTTCCGACGTTAAATGAGAAATTAGGGTTAGAAACTGTTTTATAAAAAAATATATAGAATAATAGATGAAATCGTTTTCTATAAAATTCAAGCAAACTATTCTTAGAAGATATCCCTCCGAGATCTCATAGAACTAAAATGTAACAATAATAGTGAAAAATGTGAAATATTAGTTTCTAATATCCATCAGTGGCGGCTATCTAGATAACGCAGGTGGCGCGCTGCTTCACCAAAATTTCAGTAAAAATTAATAAAAAAATCAACTGAATAGCTAAATATTTCTTTTTCTGTAGTCTCTATACAAATTACAAAACAGAAACCTTCAAAACTGTACCTAATTTCGGGGTATCTGGACCACTGCATGAAACAAACGAGGCGCTTGATAAAAAAAATCCGACCATCCCGGCTCGCTTGTTTTTGGAAATATAATACAATAGAAATATTTCCTAATACGAGCCAATGGAGCGCTTAACGCGCTATGCATAAAACCGTCGAACACGCGTCTCTTCTATTGGCGCGTTTATGATGGTTGCCATGGTAACGGCACGTTTCGATCTAGCCGATTAATGCACTTGGCGCGTTGATTCAGTTTGCTTCTTCCGGTCCAGACTATTTTTATGCAGTGGTTTGACTAGTTGGTCAATTGCACTATTGCGAGTTGTTTTCGATTTTTCTAACATTCCAACGACCTGTCAAACAATATGTGCCAGTGGGAAATTCTTGTATATCTAAGGGGGTAGCGACATAGTCTTGCAACTTGGACGCTATTTTTATTCGAAGTAGTAGTCGCCAAGCTTGCCAATTTATGAAGAAATGTATAAGAAGGTTTTTTAAATATTATTTTTATTGTGTTTGACATAAAATATTTAAATGTAATCCATTATTCATGATTTTACGTAAAGTAGATAGAATACACCGTATGTCGCCACCCTTAGATATACCAAACCTTCCCACTGGCAATTCATTTGTTTGGAATGCCTAATTGCAGATGCCATTCTGTAGATTTAGGAAGTGAGGATAAAAAAGACTTTTTAAATTCGCCAAAACCTAAACCTCTACTAAATGTAAGCAAAAAAACTAAGACAAAGTGTTTGTGTCAAAATTTCGGAAAGAGTGGTATTCCGAATGTAAATGGTTGTGTGGTAGTTTTTATTCAAACAAGCTTTTTTGCGTACCCTGTTTGCTAGTAGTTGTAAAATTAAATGCATGAAATAAAGACGGTTTTAGTGATTTTGGGAACGTAACTCGCGGCTTACATAAACATGAATCATCATGTGAACATATGCGTTGTTCATTAAGATTTACAGAACAAAAAAAAATTAAATTCTATTGAAGACGTTTTAAAAGAAACCACTAGGCTATATGTAAAATAATTTAATGACAAAGTGTATCTTAACAGACGTTTTATGCAGTTGCGAATTCGAGCAGTTCTTTTTCTAGGAAAACAAGAATTGGCATTTCGTGGTCATAATCAAGACAAATATTTCGAAAATTGCGGTAATTTTAAGGAATTTTATATTCTTATATCTCACTAAGTTCTGTAGACATTCAAGAACACTATAAAAAAATTTAGCTTGTAATTGTCGCAAATTTTAAAATAATTCAAAATGAATTAATAAACTGTATTTCTCAATATATTAACAAATATATTGAAATAAATAATTGCAATTTTTTTCCATTCAAGTAGACGGCTCAACAGATATTGCTCAAAAATCTCAATGTAGCATAATAATTAGGTATGTTAACTCTCAAGAAAAGCTAGTTGAAATATTTTTAGGATTCCATGATGTAAGTTCTGATCAAAAAGCTCAAGCATTGTTAACCCTAGTTACAAGGTGTCTAGAAAAATACGACTACAAATCAAAACTTGTTGGACAATCTTATGACGGCGCAGTGTTATGTCAGGGCAATCAAATGGTTTACAATCGAAGATTAAGGAAGTAGCAACAGAAGCGGTGTTCGTTCATTGTTTGGCGCACCATCTGAATTTAGTCCTGTCTCAAAGCTGTTACAGCATTTCGAAGTGCCGTATATTTTTTACTCATGCGAAAGGTCTGCCTTCTTTTTTTCATCAGTCAACAAAAAGAACTCACGCCGCCGATGTAATCCTTTCTATTTGATTAATATAAATTTCATATTGCGGATTCCAAACAGTGGTCCAATATTCTAGAATTGACCTGACCACTGATAAATCCTTACAGTTTCTCATTATAAAACCTAACATCTTTAGTTCTTTGACAGTTATTATATTAATATGTTCGTTTAATGAAAGAAATGAATCAAAATTCACTCCAAGGTCCTTAATTAATTGAACTCTGCCTAGTTCATTATTGTGCAATTGGTATTCAGAGATAAACTTGGGGGTTCTTTTATAGAAGCTTATAACCGAACATTTATTGGTATTTATTATTTTTAATCGCCTTTTAATATAAGAGTTCGTTAAAAGATTTTTTCGGCCAACGCATTTCTAATAAAATGAAAAAAACCAACACTAAACACTAAAGAAACTTATTACAATAATTGAGATATGTAAAAACAGAAATGCCTAAATAATAACACAAAAACAAATAACTAAAGCAAGTATGTACTTACGTTGGAGATAATCACTGAATAATCACAAAATCATTGTGAACTCTCAAATCAACAATCAAGCAACACGCGGGTGAGGGAGGCGATCAACTCCTAATATTTTCGTAATGCGCATGCGCTATATTGCCTCTAAACATCGCACACTTATGTCATTTTTGATTAAGTCGGCAGGATCTTGTAACGTTCATTGGTTTCACAGTATACATTTTATTATAAATATTTTCTAATATTTATTTTGATAACACATCAACACATCGCACTAATAGGCTACCTTGTATATTACAAACTTTTTCATATTTTCAGTTATTCAGATGGCGCTACCAAACCGAACTGTCGTACTGCCCACATAGCAAATATGCTGAAAATCCTAATGGACCGATTAGGCTACAAGCGATACGTGGTACACGGAAGTGATTGGGGTGCAGTAGTGGCTACAAATATGGCTACACTCTATCCAGAAAACGTTATCGGATTCCACTCAAACTTTTGTTTCTCATTTAGAGTAGTAACTTTGATAAAAATTTTGCTGGCTGGGTTGTATCCATCCGCAGCATTTGATGATAAATATGTAAATAAGTTGTATCCACTAAGCGAGTATTTTAAATTTCTAATGAGTGAAGCAGCTTATTTGCATTTGATGGGAACCAAGTCAGATACAATTGGTAAGCTAGTAGAAAATGTATTCCTTCATATAACGCTTTTTACTTTAGATATTAATTGAAACGCTATAAAATTTGCTTTATATTGATATTTATAAATATTTATTGATATAGGACATACATTGGATAGTACACCAATTGGTCTAATATCGTTTATGTTCGAGAAACTGTCAGTTGGAACCAATAAAAATAATATTTACTCGCCCACTGCAGGTCTGGAACACTTCGATTTAACCAAAATTATGGATATCATATTGTTCTATTATTGGTTTCCCCAAAAGGCCGCCACTTCTTCCAGAATTTATTCTGAGAATCTCAGCCTTAATGGATTACTTGAGGGACTACATAAGTAAGTTGATAACATAGCTCTTACTTAAGGTAGTTCACTCGCGACAAAAATATCGCCTAATTATGAATACCAAAAGCCGAGAATGATCGGTATTCTCGCAGCAAAAGTTTGAGATTATCAATGCTAAATTTTTTTAAGGGACTGTACACAACACATGTAAGCTTATATATATATATACCTCAGACTACCAGTGGGAACTGACAGTTTGGATATGGCAACCTCGTGGGCCTGTTTTCATTGACAGGAAACATATATAGATTGCTCAATGCGGGTCGTTTGAGATCGGCTATATTGCCTGGTTTAAAACCAATTTCCAGCCTTTGAATATATTAAAAAAATAACTACCTACATTTTTACTTCAAAGCTTATGTTTATTTTTAAAAACAATCAATCTATATAAATAGCTATACCATTGACCCTGTCAAATCACCAGGTCCACATTGTTTCCATATTCTAACCTATCATGTGCCTGTCAGTAGCCTGTCATTACCATTTTGTTTGGAATGCCTAACACCCCTACACGTACCGTATACGTTTAATCCAGATTAAGGGTTTAATCGCGATTAATACAATTTTTAGCTATAAAAATAATTCCTAATCCGATTTTATTCTAATCCGTACTAAACGCGATTAAACCCTTAATCTGGATTAAACGAGTACGGTGCATACGGGCGTTAATGAAACACAATTAGAAAGTTTCAAATATACCGACAAAACGTTGACATCTTTTTGACGTTAGATATTCTCGATTACATCATTTTATTTCAAGTAAAATCCACCCTGCAACGTCGCAAATGTATAAATGGTGGGTTGTCAAGTGAGTGTATATGATCATAGAAATTTGTGATCACACAAATTTTTTAGTGTTCTAGTGCAATGTAAAACGCCGCCCGCCACTGAGATATTTCAATTAATAAAAAATGTTTTTATTTTCTTTGTTATTCTAATTTAAACAATAAATGAAAATAAGTAATTATTTGGATAAGTTCTTAACCCTACATTACATTAATACTTACAAAGTAATCTAACAGACATTTGAGTTACCGCACGTTAAGTGTAGCTATTACAATGTTGCCAAGTGTTGTAATCATTTTACCACTACGCGTCGAGTGCTTTAAAAATATTTTTATTTTAAAAATCTATATCTTTTTACCAAAACGGTCAAAAAATTCAGCTTTTTTTAAAAAATTTTATAACTTCTTGATTTACATTACATTAGTATTTAAAAAATATGATAAGAACCGTTTTCGAGATATCTTGAAATAAATGCATTGCTTGTGTACATGACAGGCTTCAAGAGTGTTAATTATGCACATTTTGCTTGTTAATGTCTCGTTTTAGAGACGGTCAACAATGTAATTTTTTTTAGTTACCGTCAAGCGGGGCTAAGAGGACCATTGCGTTTAAAGTGAACCGAGAGGACAGGCATCTATCAATATTGGGCTTATAGATTAAACATTTTTGAAGTACAGGAAATTGTTGATTTTTTTATCAACGTTTGTTGATTTTGTTTTATCATATCAATTAAATAAAATGCAAAAGTCCGGGGTAATTGGACCGGTCCACTTTAGGTCCAGGGGTAAGTGGATCTGTCCATTTACCTTTCCGTCTAAAGTGGACATAATATCTACTTTAGTCGCCAAAGAGGTACTCATTTTTTTTTGTTACAGGTTTAACTTTAAATGGTCCGAAACTATATAAGGAAATTTGAAAAAGCTCCCAACTGCAACTACACTAAAGAAAATTTAAGTTTGGCAATCAGAGAGCAAGATTAGGAAGGATATCCCTAAGAAAAATAAGTGAAAAACATTCAATACCAAGAACAACCATAAAAAGAAAAATGGAGGAAACTCACCCAAAAAAATATTGTTACGCAGTTCATCGTAAATACTAGTACGAAACAGGCATGGATACTTCTGGTCCCCCCGCATGGTTTTTGAAGATATAGGAGGAAAAGGAAAGGCGGGAAGAGGAGAAGTAAAGATGCAGGAAGGAAGAAGAGGAGGAAAAGGGAAGACGCAGGAAAGAAGAAAAGGAAAAGAAAAGATGCAGGAAGGAAGAAGCGGACAAGAAAGAAGGGCGCAAAAGAGACGAAGAAACAGAGAAGGAGGAATGACATAGAGATTATGAATGGCTTTTTACAAATTCAAGAAAACTTCAGACAAGAGGTAGGTCAGCTAAAAACTAATTAAAAACAACAAGAAATGGCTATAATAGAGTTAGAAAGGCAGAACTAGTTAAGTTAGAAAGATGAATTTATAGTCTAGCTTTGGTAAGCAGCAGATACACTGCAAACACTACCTCGTCCTTAGCTATGACCAAACCTAGCCATATTCAAAATCCAGTTTTACAAAGCCATACTAGTAAGACCATTAAGCCAATCACGTTTGCGGGTCAGACAACATGGGACACGTATCGACCCCAATTTGAAGGTGCAGCTAGAACCAATGGCTTGGCTGAAAAAGAGATGGCGACTTCATTGATAGTGTCGCTGCGGGGATAGGCAGCAACTGTTTTACAGTTATTCATCTCTTGTTCAAGCTTTGGAGACCAGATATGGTCAACAGCATTTGAAACGGGTATTCCAAGGCCAACTAAAGGTTCGTAGTTAGAAACATAATTAGAGTCTACAGGAATTCAAGGCCAACAAAAGAAGATTGCTTCATCTGGTCTATCCACAGGCGCCGAAAGATTTCCAAGAACAAATCGGAATACAAGAATTAATTGATGGACTACAAGGTGTAGAAATGCAGCAAGCTTTTCGTAAACAATATCACAAGACGCTGAGGGAGAAACTGATAACAGCCCAGGAATATGAAGCGATAAAACTCCTTTCCAGATTAAGAGTCAGATAAATGAAATTCCAGGAAAGTGAGAAGGCCAATACTAATGCTATCCCCCTACCTACTATCTCACAAATCTTAAATATCCTGCAAAATATGCAACGAAAGAGCCAAAATGGAACCAGGAGATGCTTCAATTGTAGAAGAATCGGACACCTTCAAAGAACCCGAGAATCAGGGAATGCGGCCGGAAAGTCACATAGATAAATCTTCCGAAGCCCGTCCAACAAAAAATAGTCTCAGCACCTATGCGTCCCGAAAAAGCCAATCACCCACACCAAGTCGGCTTTCTAACAATAACCAGGAAGTAGGGCAATCCTGTTTCGGACGACAAAGCCGGTAGAGTAAAAGGCTCGAAGAACGAGAAGAACCGGTTGATAAAGTTATTCTTCGGGCAACCACTATCAAGCCAGAGGGCGACGAAGAAGAAATCACTCTTGAAAGCCTGAGAAAGGGGCAGAAGAAATCAAAGGTTGACCGGGGATGGCTCAAAAATAAAGTTACTCCTACTTGGCAAGAGATAGCCAAATAAAGTAAAGCTATTAAAGGGTACTGGGCTCAGTTGGATTCCCTGTATCTTCACGATGGCCTATTGCACCGGAAGTGGGAGAGCCCCGATGGAGTACATGTAGCCTGCCAAGTAGCACTGCCGAAATCACATGTCAGAAGTGTGTTGGAGGAGCTTCATTGTAGTCGTTCGGAAGGACAATTTAGTACTAAAAGGACACCGGCATGAGTTCGGGAAAGATTTTATTGGGTCAATTGCCGACGGGATGTAGCGGATTGGTGTAAAAAATGTGATGTGCAATGGCAGGACAAAGCCAACAGCGATAAAGCAGAAGTTAGAATTGACAGGCGACCCAGTTTGGCTGTACAATCGCAAGCACCGATGAGGATTTTGTCAGAAATCTCAATGTAACTGGAAGGCTCCTACGCCGCCATTATGGAAAATCTACCGCATTGAGCTGTTAGCGGAAAATAAATCTAAGGTAGTTCACATTGGAAAGTTACAGCCATATCGTGGTCCAAATTCCCCTGTTAGCTCCAACCAGATCCCATTGATCAAGTTAATCGGAGCGAATAAATAGAGAGGAGGGAGAAATGTTACGCAGCATCCTGAAACGTGCTGCGTCAAAGGTACGAGTAAAAGAAGGGGGGATATTCAAGAAATGTCATTCCACGTCAAGAAAAATCTGGACAGTTCTAGAAGGTTCGAGGTTAAAGCAAGCTATATAATAGGCCCCACTCACCTCGTTAAAAACGTTGGAAGGAAGAACGTTGACTGATATGTCCACACACAAGAAAATGGACTAAAAACTGACTACTTAAACGCAGTACACTGTCACATACAAAATTATTGAAGGAGCTAAGATTGAAGCCTGGCGATTGGCACAATTACTTGAGGATGGACGAGGATACGTATCGGAAACTGGTAAAATTAGTAACACCGTTAATTGAGAGACATAATACCCAGTTACGTGAATGCATCAGTCCTCACGAACGCCTAATAGCTACTCTGCGGTTTCTGGCCACTGGCCGCAGCTACGGGGATCTGAAGTTTTCTGTTAATATTTCACTGCAGGTACTAGGACGCTTAATAACCGAAACCTGCCAAGCTCGATAAACTCTAATAAAGTCTCTGTTCCACTTCCTAATATCTGACATTTTTATTATAACCAGTTGTAAATAATAATAAAAAACAAAAACATGCTGAACGTCACTGCCACTGATAAATGCCCGACCAGTCGAACTGTTGAGAATACACACCTCGTGTTTACTCAAACAGTTGGCACGATAACCGACAAAAATCAAGCCTCGCCTGAAATTTTGGAACGACGTTCTTGCCCATACACCTCGTTTTTGTGACATTTTTACCCTGACGTTTTTAACCGTCAGTTAAAAACGGCGGAGAAGAACGAGGTGAGTGGGGCCCTTAAGTCGGCAATCCTGACGTCAGGGGGTCAGTTTTATGATAGACGTTATACGTTAATGTTATCAGCTGAGAGTTATTGTAAAAGTTGTGTTGGAATAAATTGAGATACCAAAAACCTGCGTAACAATATGGTCGTCAACCAGCTCTGAATAATGATGAAAGACAACAAATAGCTCAAGGCCTCATAGTTTGTGAAGAATGTGGGTTCCCGCTGACCAAGCTAGACATTAGATTAATTATAAAACAATTTCTGGATCGTATTGGAAGGCAAGAGTCACGATTTCAAAACAATATGCCGGGAAAAGGCTTTATTAATCTTTTTTTCAAAAGGCATCTGTAGGTTTTGGTATATGAGTTAGACATCTCGCTATAATAATAAAAAAATTATCTAGATTTCAAAAAAGTATAATATTAAAATGTATTGACAGTTTTCTTCCTCAGTACTTGTCGTCGTCTTGTTTATTATTATTATTTTTTTTCTTTTATTTTTCGTTTCCATAAAAACTCCATGACCACGTTCGTCAAGGCTCGACCAATCAGGGCACACCTCAAAAGACGTCGAACCGATATATCTACCTAAGAATTAACAATATTATGACCATGACACACATTCAAAGTAGACTAGTCTTCATAGTTACGACTATAAAGACTAGTTACGACATCGATACTTGACCAACCTCAAATACAAACAACTTAAAAATTTTAAAATGAAATGACTAATATGTCAAAACTTAAACAGGTAAGATTATGTGGGGAACATGATGTCGCCACAGCATCCTAAACTCTCAGTGCGCTTTTCTGAAAATATCAAACGTTGTAGGGCTGCCGTTGGTGCCGACCTCATACATTCTCATTTTGACCAATGTAAATTCATTAGAAGGTGTTTCAGCAAATAGTATAGTAAACTACGATGAAACGAATTTTTCCGACGATCCGCTCCAAGCATCTCAAATATGTTATAGACTCATCAAAATGTAGAATGTCTTTAATGATGAGTGGATCAGCCTCTGGAGTGTTATTGCCACCTTATATTGTATATCGGGCAGAGAACTTATATCCCACATGGATTGAAGGTGGCCCAGCACAAACTAGATTAAAGAACGGATGGTTTTACGAAAGGACCTTTGAAGTATTGCTCTGCCATATTTGAAAAAACAACCTGCGCCTCGGGTATTAATTAGGGAATAATTTATCGAACCATATTTCTCAAAATGTCATCCAAACTTGTAACGAAAGTGACATCAGATTTGGGCTACTCCCTCCAAATTCTTTTGGAATTTGTCAAACTCTTGATGTGGCATTTTTTGGTCCATTGAAACGGAAATGGAATGCTGTCCTTTTAGAATTGAACCAAAAAAATAGGGAAGTAGTTCCAAAACTTTTAGAGAAAACTTTGGAGGTCCTTGAAACTGCATCAGAAAATTTGAAAGCTGGGTTTGCTGCTTGCGGTATTTGTCTATTAATTCGACAGAAAGTTTTATGGCGACTGTCAGAAGAAGCCCCGAATGAACCTACCCCTACCAAGAGTTAATCGAGTCTCTAAAAAAACAAGAATACCCGAAAAATTAGCAAAAAACCAAGAATTAAAAAAATGAAAGTAGCATCCGGAAAAATTGTTTCATTTGAACAGAATGAAACATCCTCAGATGAAGGCGATTATAGTAAACACAATGAGTTATCAGATGAAATATTTGAGAATGAAGGTTCTAATGACAAGAAAATATTGGAAAGAATTCCAAGAAGTTGTACTGGAAGCACAACAAAACAGTTTAGATGAATTAGTGGAAAACGATTTTGTCATCGTGAAGTTTGAAATCACTAAGGGAAAAGAAATCTACATTACGTTGGACAGATAATAAATATAGTATATTAAGGTATAAGTAGATATAACGGTCATTAAAACACGCGCGATTTTAAAGACCAGTTATCCACGAATACTTTACGCTATTTTTTTTTATTGGTATACTTTGAAATCCTAAATATTGGTATTATTTCTACAAAAAAATGGAAATAAGAACTAATAACTTAAAATGGTTGAATTTGTGATATAACATCAGTATACATCGTTGTCAGGAAAATGAGACGAACAAAAATTTATTTTCAATCTGTCACGTAAGATTATTTTTTTGTTGTGTCATCGGCGTCGACTACTATGGCCTATAGCCTCGTAAGATTAATTGTCACAACAGTTGTTATTGTTTAAAATTAGTTCATATTGAGTATTTAAATAATAAAGCAGAATCGCGCTTAATACCACAAAAATCCGAGCGGTTTATAAAAAAAAATACGATAAATTCAACACGTGGATGGAAGAGCAAATGGTTACACATATAGATGAGCGAGTTGTTCTCGCTTATCTCCAGAAAATGTCGGAACAATATAAAGTATCGACTATGTGGACTATCCATTCAAAATTACAAAGTATGTTGAGGATAAACAAAGGGGTCGATATAAAATCGTTCGTCAAAGTGCATGCATTCATGAAGGCAATTAGCAAAAATGAGGTAGTCAAGAAGGCATATGTATTCGAGGAAGACGATTTGCAGAAGTTTTTTACAGATGCACCGGACATTACGTATTTATTTTTGAAGGTGGTTGCTATTTGTGGCATCTTTGGCTCTTGTAGAAGATGTTAATTGTGCGATTTTTGCTTAGCTGATATCAAGGAAGAAGAAAGCGTATTGCTTATTACTATCCGACCATCTAAGACAGTGAAGTCTCGACGTTTTACTGTTGCCGATAGTGATGCAATTAGATATGTGCGTTTGGTGAAGCAGTATTTATCATTGCGCCCCCAAAATGTAAGTACAGACCGAGTTTTCTTACGGTATGATAAGGGGAAGTGCACCAATCAAATGGTTGGTATTAGTACATTTGGATCATGTCCCCAGCAAATTGCACGTTATCTTAAATTGGACGATCCTGAGAAATATACTGGACATGCATTTCGACGTACGTCCGCTACCATTATGACAATAGATCAAATCCAACGACAAGTAGGATGGAAATCGGCAGCTGTGGCGACTGGTTACGTTGAAGAGAGCATTAGCAATAAGAAGAATGTTTCAAATATTATTGGAAGTGCTATTAATGGATGTACAACTTTATTGACTTCCAAGAATGTTAGCAATCTTAATTTGAACAATATTTCCTCTGATTTAAAAAACCGAAGTTTTAATATTTCAAACAATACTAACTGTACTTTCCACATTCATTTAAACAATTAAGAATGTGAAAAAATATTTGAATAAATTTTTTGAAAAATGTCTCAGAAATATTTTATTTGACATTACAAGGCACTCCTGTCAGATCAATATTTAAAAAGTTAGCATTTAGACATCACGTTTCTCGGGTTGTTGATGTGCCATAGTAACTTTAAAACGCGCGTTTTTTAAAGTTCGTTTTAAACACGCTGAGGCGTACTTTAAATAGGTAAAATAGGGTACCAATAAAAAAAATACAAGACAAATACCAAATACATTTTTTGAGGAAGGTAGTAGGAAAATATATTTACTTTTGTTTTACTCAAGTTCGTAGCGAGTGCCGTTCAACAGTTAAATTTATCTTAGAAATCATTGTAGAGGCAGATATTCATTTAATATGGAAAGGAAAACCGATATTTTTTTGTTATCTTAAAAGCATTATTTATAAGTTTACCACTATATATGTAATAATTAAAGGAGTTTGTTTTTTGTTTAAAAATAAAATATTTTTTTACTATTTACAACCACGTGTAATATTTATTTTCAAATATTTCTTGATTTCCAAATCTCGATTTACAATTATTTTAAAAAAAACATTTTTTGTGGACCATTTTCTCAATATAGTGTTTAAATAAGATAAAGTTTACAGGTGGTCCACTTTGCCCCTTTCTGCGGGGAAAGTGTTCCACCTTTAAAAGAAAATATAAGTATCTGAAACTAAAAATTTTTATTATTTGAAGAAAAAGTTAGCAAAAATTAAAAATTTGGTCATGTTAGCCCCACTTGACGGTACGTAAAAGACACATTCATTAACCTTATATTTCAATTTTATTGAATTCTTAAGAAAAGCCGTTTTACGAGTGAACTACCTTAAATATTAATAAAACAAGATTTTTTCACTAATTTTTATTAATGTTGCCAAACATTCCAGCCGAAATTTTCTCCTTCATACTATGATTATTAACGAAAATTTTTATTTTTTCAGCATACCAATTCATCCTAGTGTACTTTGCAAATGCGTCATGTTTGAAAATGAGTTTTTCTTTTTACCTGAGAATTTTCTTCGTGACAAATACACAAATCTTGTTGGTTACGACATATATCCAGGAATTGGACATTTTGCTGCTATCGAAGCAAATGACATCCTTACCGAAGATATTATTTCATTTGTTGAACGATTTTTTGTGAAAAATTCATAGTGAAAATTAAAGTTTTTAAAATATTTGATTAATACTGAAAACAACTATTTCTGTTTCTGTTGGTCCAATGGAAGGGCCAGGTCCAAAAAGTATTTGGTTGTGTGGTAAAAGATTTGGAACGAATAAGATTTTTCGGTGGTATAATAGAAAAACAACTGATAAAACATCAACCACTTTATTAATTAACTTCAATAAATTTCTTCGATCATAATTTAAAAACTACTTAACCTATATTAACTCCTAATTAGGTACTCAGTTCAACCAACTGGAATGTATCTTCCCTTACGGATCTTTTGTGCGGGCTGCTTGCTAATTCCACTACATTCACTTACGTTACAACCACATTTAGATGGTACTCCAATTTTCTTCTTCAATTTTCTACCTCCATCGCATTCCAATTCTACATAAAGCGTGTTGTAGGCTAGAGCCTGACAACAAGCACATTCTGATTGGTGCATTCCAACACCTAGAAACAAAATATCGTTAAAAAAGTTAAATCCCAGTCAAATATAGTCTTATAAATTATTATGGCAGCGAGTAATACTATTAGTTTTGTTGTTTAATTAACATTTTAACCGACAATATAGCTGGGGAACTCCAATATTAGCAATGTTTAGTAACTTTTACGCCTATTCCTAGATACTGAGCTGTCTTAAGCTAAATTGCCTTTTTGTGTTTACTCCATTTTAGTTCATACTACCCACACTCACACCTTTGTTCCTTGGACAAATAATCAAAGCCACACTTTTTCGAGCTGCTTCACAGTTGCACAGTGTTCGACTCTTTCTAATTTTATTATTATCAACTGGTTCCAATTCAAAGAAAGTAATTCTATTATTAATTTTGAATATAGTCATATAAAGGTTTCCTATTTTGGGACATCTAACCAGTAGTTATTAATTACGTTTTTACCGAACCCAGTAGTTTGTAAGTCTAAGTACTGTGCATTTTGGTACATACTTCTAGCACAGTTGTGCTCCTAGCTTCTAACACAGCTAAACATAACAAGCAGCTAGGAAACTCCACGGCGGCACTTTCATCTATTATATCTCTCCCACTGTGGTACACGGAAGTGATTGGGGTGCAGTAGTGGCTACAAATATGGCTACACTCTATCCAGAAAACGTTATCGGATTCCACTCAAACTTTTGTTTCTCATTTAGAGTAGTAACTTTGATAAAAATTTTGCTGGCTGGGTTGTATCCATCCGCAGCATTTGATGATAAATATGTAAATAAGTTGTATCCACTAAGCGAGTATTTTAAATTTCTAATGAGTGAAGCAGCTTATTTGCATTTGATGGGAACCAAGTCAGATACAATTGGTAAGCTAGTAGAAAATGTATTCCTTCATATAACGCTTTTTACTTTAGATATTAATTGAAACGCTATAAAATTTGCTTTATATTGATATTTATAAATATTTATTGATATAGGACATACATTGGATAGTACACCAATTGGTCTAATATCGTTTATGTTCGAGAAACTGTCAGTTGGAACCAATAAAAATAATATTTACTCGCCCACTGCAGGTCTGGAACACTTCGATTTAACCAAAATTATGGATATCATATTGTTCTATTATTGGTTTCCCCAAAAGGCCGCCACTTCTTCCAGAATTTATTCTGAGAATCTCAGCCTTAATGGATTACTTGAGGGACTACATAAGTAAGTTGATAACATAGCTCTTACTTAAGGTAGTTCACTCGCGACAAAAATATCGCCTAATTATGAATACCAAAAGCCGAGAATGATCGGTATTCTCGCAGCAAAAGTTTGAGATTATCAATGCTAAATTTTTTTAAGGGACTGTACACAACACATGTAAGCTTATATATATATATACCTCAGACTACCAGTGGGAACTGACAGTTTGGATATGGCAACCTCGTGGGCCTGTTTTCATTGACAGGAAACATATATAGATTGCTCAATGCGGGTCGTTTGAGATCGGCTATATTGCCTGGTTTAAAACCAATTTCCAGCCTTTGAATATATTAAAAAAATAACTACCTACATTTTTACTTCAAAGCTTATGTTTATTTTTAAAAACAATCAATCTATATAAATAGCTATACCATTGACCCTGTCAAATCACCAGGTCCACATTGTTTCCATATTCTAACCTATCATGTGCCTGTCAGTAGCCTGTCATTACCATTTTGTTTGGAATGCCTAACACCCCTACACGTACCGTATACGTTTAATCCAGATTAAGGGTTTAATCGCGATTAATACAATTTTTAGCTATAAAAATAATTCCTAATCCGATTTTATTCTAATCCGTACTAAACGCGATTAAACCCTTAATCTGGATTAAACGAGTACGGTGCATACGGGCGTTAATGAAACACAATTAGAAAGTTTCAAATATACCGACAAAACGTTGACATCTTTTTGACGTTAGATATTCTCGATTACATCATTTTATTTCAAGTAAAATCCACCCTGCAACGTCGCAAATGTATAAATGGTGGGTTGTCAAGTGAGTGTATATGATCATAGAAATTTGTGATCACACAAATTTTTTAGTGTTCTAGTGCAATGTAAAACGCCGCCCGCCACTGAGATATTTCAATTAATAAAAAATGTTTTTATTTTCTTTGTTATTCTAATTTAAACAATAAATGAAAATAAGTAATTATTTGGATAAGTTCTTAACCCTACATTACATTAATACTTACAAAGTAATCTAACAGACATTTGAGTTACCGCACGTTAAGTGTAGCTATTACAATGTTGCCAAGTGTTGTAATCATTTTACCACTACGCGTCGAGTGCTTTAAAAATATTTTTATTTTAAAAATCTATATCTTTTTACCAAAACGGTCAAAAAATTCAGCTTTTTTTAAAAAATTTTATAACTTCTTGATTTACATTACATTAGTATTTAAAAAATATGATAAGAACCGTTTTCGAGATATCTTGAAATAAATGCATTGCTTGTGTACATGACAGGCTTCAAGAGTGTTAATTATGCACATTTTGCTTGTTAATGTCTCGTTTTAGAGACGGTCAACAATGTAATTTTTTTTAGTTACCGTCAAGCGGGGCTAAGAGGACCATTGCGTTTAAAGTGAACCGAGAGGACAGGCATCTATCAATATTGGGCTTATAGATTAAACATTTTTGAAGTACAGGAAATTGTTGATTTTTTTATCAACGTTTGTTGATTTTGTTTTATCATATCAATTAAATAAAATGCAAAAGTCCGGGGTAATTGGACCGGTCCACTTTAGGTCCAGGGGTAAGTGGATCTGTCCATTTACCTTTCCGTCTAAAGTGGACATAATATCTACTTTAGTCGCCAAAGAGGTACTCATTTTTTTTTGTTACAGGTTTAACTTTAAATGGTCCGAAACTATATAAGGAAATTTGAAAAAGCTCCCAACTGCAACTACACTAAAGAAAATTTAAGTTTGGCAATCAGAGAGCAAGATTAGGAAGGATATCCCTAAGAAAAATAAGTGAAAAACATTCAATACCAAGAACAACCATAAAAAGAAAAATGGAGGAAACTCACCCAAAAAAATATTGTTACGCAGTTCATCGTAAATACTAGTACGAAACAGGCATGGATACTTCTGGTCCCCCCGCATGGTTTTTGAAGATATAGGAGGAAAAGGAAAGGCGGGAAGAGGAGAAGTAAAGATGCAGGAAGGAAGAAGAGGAGGAAAAGGGAAGACGCAGGAAAGAAGAAAAGGAAAAGAAAAGATGCAGGAAGGAAGAAGCGGACAAGAAAGAAGGGCGCAAAAGAGACGAAGAAACAGAGAAGGAGGAATGACATAGAGATTATGAATGGCTTTTTACAAATTCAAGAAAACTTCAGACAAGAGGTAGGTCAGCTAAAAACTAATTAAAAACAACAAGAAATGGCTATAATAGAGTTAGAAAGGCAGAACTAGTTAAGTTAGAAAGATGAATTTATAGTCTAGCTTTGGTAAGCAGCAGATACACTGCAAACACTACCTCGTCCTTAGCTATGACCAAACCTAGCCATATTCAAAATCCAGTTTTACAAAGCCATACTAGTAAGACCATTAAGCCAATCACGTTTGCGGGTCAGACAACATGGGACACGTATCGACCCCAATTTGAAGGTGCAGCTAGAACCAATGGCTTGGCTGAAAAAGAGATGGCGACTTCATTGATAGTGTCGCTGCGGGGATAGGCAGCAACTGTTTTACAGTTATTCATCTCTTGTTCAAGCTTTGGAGACCAGATATGGTCAACAGCATTTGAAACGGGTATTCCAAGGCCAACTAAAGGTTCGTAGTTAGAAACATAATTAGAGTCTACAGGAATTCAAGGCCAACAAAAGAAGATTGCTTCATCTGGTCTATCCACAGGCGCCGAAAGATTTCCAAGAACAAATCGGAATACAAGAATTAATTGATGGACTACAAGGTGTAGAAATGCAGCAAGCTTTTCGTAAACAATATCACAAGACGCTGAGGGAGAAACTGATAACAGCCCAGGAATATGAAGCGATAAAACTCCTTTCCAGATTAAGAGTCAGATAAATGAAATTCCAGGAAAGTGAGAAGGCCAATACTAATGCTATCCCCCTACCTACTATCTCACAAATCTTAAATATCCTGCAAAATATGCAACGAAAGAGCCAAAATGGAACCAGGAGATGCTTCAATTGTAGAAGAATCGGACACCTTCAAAGAACCCGAGAATCAGGGAATGCGGCCGGAAAGTCACATAGATAAATCTTCCGAAGCCCGTCCAACAAAAAATAGTCTCAGCACCTATGCGTCCCGAAAAAGCCAATCACCCACACCAAGTCGGCTTTCTAACAATAACCAGGAAGTAGGGCAATCCTGTTTCGGACGACAAAGCCGGTAGAGTAAAAGGCTCGAAGAACGAGAAGAACCGGTTGATAAAGTTATTCTTCGGGCAACCACTATCAAGCCAGAGGGCGACGAAGAAGAAATCACTCTTGAAAGCCTGAGAAAGGGGCAGAAGAAATCAAAGGTTGACCGGGGATGGCTCAAAAATAAAGTTACTCCTACTTGGCAAGAGAT